GTGTGTGTGTGTGGTGTGTGTGTGTGTGTGTGTGTGTGTGTGTGTGTGTGTGTGTGTGTGTGTGTGTGTGTGTGGTGTCATGATTCGGTTCTGTGTTGCTTCCTGTCAGGCTTTTATTTTGATGCTACGTCCTGTTTTGTTTCACCACAGTTTTGGTCTTTTTACTTTCTTCATCACCCGCATTAGTTTCACCTGCTCATTATAGTTTGCACCGCATCATAAGCAGCCTTCACCCACCAATCCCAGCCAGATTGTTCTAGACGCCACCTCTCACTCTCCAGCATTTTTCGGTTTTGGTACTTTGTGTTTTTGACCCGGCTTGTTCCTCTGACTATTCTGTTCTGCCTTGCCCTCTTGCTTCAGACTGTCACTGTGTATAATTATCGGACTTCCCTTTGGACTACGTATTTGGATTCCTCTGCTGTATGTGTTTGCTGGCTCTGATCTCGGACTGTTTATACCGACCTGTGATTTTTGTGTTTCACCGTGTCTTGTATGGTTTTGTTTAGCGTTAGTTCTCTTATTAAAGAGACGGTTTTGTTTTACATTTCCTTGTCTGGCCTTTTAATTGAGTTCACCCTCAACATTTTTGGCAGCATAACGCGCCGATTCCTGACATGTGGTGTGTGCGTGTGTGTTTGTCTTTATATACTTGTGCGAACCAACCCCTGATGGAACACCTTTCTTGTGTGGACATTTCATTGGTGACTTTCACCAATGCGGTTTCTGTACTATGATGGACTCTAAATCCTGACTGAAAATCCTCAAACAAATCATTCTTGTGCAAGTGGTCACATAACTGCTTTGCAACAGCTTTTTCAAGGATTTTGGAAATAAATGGGAGATTGGATATTGGTCTATAATTAGCTAGGACACCTGGGTCAAGAGTAGGCTTTTTGAGTAGAGGTTTAATTACTGCAAGTTTAAAAGCCTGTGGAACATAACTTGTTAATAGAGAGAGGTTAATCAGATCTAGTATGGATGTGTTGATTAGGGGAAAGACGTCTTTGAGCAGCCTTGTCGGGATGGGGTCCAGGAGACCTGTTGATGATTTAGATGAAGCAATTGTTGAGGTCAACTCAGAGAGATCTATAGGGGAGAAGTAGTCCAAGTATAAATGAGGTCTTCCAGATGTTTCTAAAGCCATTGTAGTAGATGGCACATCTGTGAGAGCTGTGGGAGTGGTCCGACCAATTTTTTCTCTAATAGTTGTGATTTTATTTGTAAAGAAGCTCATGAAGTCATTGCTGCTGAGATCTAAGGGAATGTTAAGCTCAACAGCACTGTGGCTCTTTGTCAGCCTGGCTACAGTGCTGAAAAGAAACCTGGGGTTGTTCTTATTTTCCTCAATCAGTGATGAATAAAATGTGGTTCTGGCACTATGAAGGGCTTTCTTATATGTTATTAAACTATCTTTCCAGGCTATGAAAAACTCTTCTGACTTAGTGGAGCGCCACCTCCTTTCCATTTTTCGTGATGCCTGCTTTAGGGAGCGGAGCTGCGAGCTGTACCACGGGGCTAGCCTCCTCTGTTTCACTACCTTCTTTTTCAGAGGGGCAATGGTATCAAGTGTATTACGCAGGAAGGCTGCAGTACTATCAACAAGATTATCGATTTGTGTTGGAGTAAAGTTAAGGTGGCCTCCTTCCACTGTGTTGGCAAACGGCACTGAAGTAGATAAAGATGGAATTATTTCCTTAAACTTGGTAACAGCATTGCCAGATGGACATCTGCTGTAGTGGAATTGTTTCCCACATAGAGTATAATCCATTAATGGAAATTCAAAAGTTATTAGAAAATGGTCAGACAGAAGAGGGTTATGGGGAAAAACTATTAAGTGTTCAGTTTTGATGCCATATGTCAGAACCAGATCAAGAGTGTGATTAAAACAGTGAGTGGGTTTATTTAGTTTGAGAGAAGCCAACTGAGTCTAATAATGAACAGAATGCATTGTTGAGGCTGTCATTGTCGGCATCTACATGAATATTAAAGTCGCCTACTATGATTATTTTATCTGTACTAAGCACTAAATCAGACAGAAAGTCTGAGAATTCACTTAAAAACTCTGAATAAGGAGCAGGTGGACGGTATACAATAACAAACAGAACAGGCTTTTGAGTTTTCCAGTTTGGGTGTGAGAGACTCAGGGTGAGACTTTCAAATGAGTTATAACTATGTTTAGGTCTAGGGTTGATTAATAGGCTTGAGTCAAAGATCGCTGCCACGCCACCACCTCGGCCTGTGTTTCGAGGGATGTGACAGTTACTGTGACCAGGTGATTAGCAAGAACTTCTGCAACACAAGTGCTTATGTGGTGCAAGTGTATGTTGTCACTCAAAAATTCAGATGAACCTAGAAAATAGTTTAATTCCTAAACAATCTGGACCAAGCAAAACACGGTGCAGGCACAGAAAACAGGAAATGAGCATGGTTACCACAGAAGCAGGAAACAGCAGTCTGTCAAAGGTTCTGCCAATGTCCCACATCAAGCCATATCATTAGAGTGTATGTGCCAATCATAACCAAAACGGCTTTCTGCTTGAGTTGGAGCAGCTCAACAGAGGAAACAGAAGGGACAAATTGCAAGCAGAGCACACATGGGCGACATCTTCTCATTTTCTATTAGTTTGTGTTGGGCAAACCTGATTTGGTTAATCTCAGTACATTACGTGAACTCACATTCCACAGGTGCACGCTGAACATGAACACAAAAGAACACGGAGCTGTGGGTAGTTTGCTCCGTTATTTGCTGCCATCTGTAGTCAGGCATTGGTGGCACCAGGCTACACAACAAAGTTCAGATATCCCTCTTCAGCATTGTCCAGCTCTTTCTGGGCAACCCCCAAAGCACTCCTGGCCCTTGTGAGATGAGGACAGGCCTGGAAAAACCTCCAATCGGAGGTGCCCAGGAGGCATCCTATTCAGATGCCCCAACCCCTTCAACTGACTCCTTTCACCGTGAAGGAGTAGCAGCTCTACTCCAAGCTCCATCCAGAGATCCAAACTCCTCATCCCATCTCCAAGGGTGAGTCCAGCCACTCTACATTTCAGCTGCTTGTTTTCACACTTTCAATCTTTGGGTCACTCCCCAAAGCTTGTGACCATAGGTGATGGTGAGCTTTGCCCTCTGGCTCAGCTTCCTCTTCACCACAGCGGTCTGGTACAATGCCTATGTAACTGCTGATGCTACCCCAGTCCACCTGCCAATCTCGCACTGCGTTTTACCCTCACTCATGAACACAACCCCGAGATACTTAAACTCTTTGGCTTTGGGATTGTTCACTCCCAAGCTGAAGTGAACAATCCCAGCAGAGAACCACAGACTGATTTCTTGTCCTAACTGCTTCAAAAACCACCCCAGTGCACACTGGGGATCACGATCTGATGCCGCCAGCAGAACCACGTCATCTGCAAAGATCATGGTCTCAATCTGAGGTCCCCTAACCGGACACTCATTCTCCTAGCGATGCTTTGACATCATGTTCATGAAAATCACAAACAGGATTGGAGACCAGGGACAGCCCTGGTGGAGGTCAGCACCTACTGGAAACATGCCTGTCTTCCTGCCAAAAATATGGACCCAAAACTCACTTATATAAAGATGACTTGTAATGACTGTGCAGATTCTCAGTCATCGAGGTCATAGTAAACCGAAAAAATTTAGAAAAAAAATCAAGTGGACTTAGATTTCTAGGTCGAAGACGTTTCACCTCTCATCCAAGAGGCTTCATCAGTTCTGACTGACTGGTCAGTCAGAACTGATGAAGCTAAATAGGGGTGGTGGACTAAGACATGACTTGTCTTCCATCTACAATCCTGTTTTGAGACCAGGACAATAGGCGTCGTCCACAGGGGAGGGTCCGAAGACAGGTAATGACTCTCACCGATACTGGGCTATAATGACTCAGTCGTTAGGGGACATTGTTGGGCATCAAAGGACTGAAACACCACGAGGGGGATAAATATCTCTGACTCAACACCAGTCAGTCAGAACTGACGAAGCCTCTTGGATGAGAGGTGAAACGTCTTCGGCCTAGAAATCTAGTCCACTTGATTGTTTTCTAAGTTTTTTCAGATGACTTGTAATGACTCCAACCCCCTCCCCCCCACAAGGCTTCCACAGAACTTGCAAGTCCACAAAACATATGTTGAATGGAAGAGAGTTTTCTTTTCTGTACTTGTAATTTTCTTCTCAGTCAACTTTGGTGGGATATATTTGAATCCTCATGGAGTTATACATGTAACCAGTAGGGGGCACAATCAGCTAATAATGACAAATAGTTTTTATCTGAATGTTTTAAATCCGAGGACAGTTTGTAGTTTTACATATGACAGGTGCTTTATTTTACAGTTTTATCTAACTTTAAATTTATATTCTATATTATGGTTTGTCATTAGAATACAACACTAAAGTCAAAGTCAACTAGTTCTCAGAGTTAAGACTAATGAATCTAATTTAGTCTAAATTAAATTAATCTAATGGGAGACAAACACTGCTTACATTATATTTGTTAATACATGTACAGTATATAAATGGCATTCATGGTGCCTTGATATCTGAATGGTTGCTGTGTTGCACTACGTACACATCACGTCAGCCACTGACATCTGTTGGTCTCTTCTTCTCCTCGTCTCTGTCACCTTTGTCTCCTGTTTGCCTCTCTGTGATCCACTGACAAGTTAAAAAAAAAAAACACCTAAATAATTCTGATAATTTCCCAAAATGACCTCTGTTCAATCCTACCAGGTCAACATGCAGCTGCAATTTTTAATTGTACAAAAATCTTCACAGTAAAATATTTACCTGATTTTAGTTCAATTTTCTTTAATTACAAAACACTGAGCAAATTCTCCAAGTCCTCGATTGTAAAACACGCTTGTTAATGCAGCTGCAGTTCTTGAAATTGCCACTAGACGGTGATTAAACACTATTGAAGTGAATGGGGAAAAAAACCAAAACAATAGAAGTCTAATTATTCAACGAAGAAAAAAAAATGAATCCAAGATTAGGAATGATGAAAATTATACTCAAAATTACAATAGTAAAACGTTTTTCAGACTACAACTTTTGCTTACTACAGAATAAGATTTGGGCCAATACTAAAATGTATTTGATTTCTGATTTTTTTTTCTTCCCAGAATCGACTTTAAAGTTAGAATTCTGACATTCAACTCTGAATTTTGGCCTTTTTCTCAAAATTCATTTTTTCCCTCATCAATCTCACTTTTTTAGTTTTGAATTTTGAGAAAAAAAGTCAGAAATGATTTATTACAGTGGCTCTAATCCTCGTCCATAGCTTACTATGTCATTTTTATGTGGAACCTTTTTACTTAGCAACCTGCAACTTGTGTTGCAAGTGTAGAATGTAAGTGTATTAGTATTAATGCTTGTAACAAACTATAAACTTAAACAAGTCAAAACGTGATGTATTATCCTAAATTTTGATTTAAAACCTTTTCAGTGCTCTTTTTAACATAACTTGGTATCACAATATTTTGACTTTATTCTCAGAATGTATTAATTTAGACTTTGACTCTCTCAACGTTTAATCTCAATTATAACTAAGTCAATATTTTAACCAAATACAATTTGTAGCCAGTATCTTTAATTAGTTTTAAAATGTGTAGTACAATAATTTACTTCTGTGTTTAACCTTAGAAACCATAATTTTGAGGAACTGATGTAATAAGACTAAGTTAGATGTACTTTGACAAGTTTTGATGCCATTTTTAATTTTATTTCATAATTATGTTGTATCTCACAAACATGACAGAGTTGAGGTAATCCACAATAAAAATCCCATGATTCTCACTTAAAAAGCCATAATTTAGCTATTTTTTAAACTAAATCCAAATATTTAGACTTAAACTATATTGTCTCACCATTTTCCATGTACCCTCAACTTGTCTTTATAAACACATTTTTTTTTTTTTACACATCCTCATCTTTGTTGTTC